ATTATGCTTGAAAACATTTTTTATCCATCTACAATACTCAATATTGACTTGATAAGGCGATAAGAAAAATATATTATTATGACATATTATGGTTATTTTATTTTCATTTTATTCTAATTAAAAAATTAGAATGTAAAATTTATTAAGTTATACTCTAAAATTATAAATTTAAAAATTATATTTTATTATATTATATACCTATTTACATATTTATAATAGGTATATGATTTAAAATAAAATCATGAATAACTAATGTGTGTTATGCAAGGTGAGCATAAAATTAAAAGAAAACAATATTCCGGAGGGCAAGACGGTGCGTTTTTAAAAAAAAAAATGTTTTGAAAAGTTAAAGTCATTTAAAAATGTTAAAATAGTCGTTATTTCAAAACTATGTATTGAGCGTAATACTTGGAGTAATGAAAAAAACGCACCGTCTTGCTTTCCGGATCATTGTTTTCTTTTAATTTTATAATGAATGCTTTTACTCTAAAACCAAAATTAAATGAGTTTTTTTTAGACTGTATAAACATGTAGAGATGATAAAACATTTTTAAATCGCTTTCAAGGATGCTGTGATAGTCCGAAAAATAAACTAACTACCAAAATAGAGTCCTAGTTATTGAACTAATAATTACACATCACTGTTTAACCTTTAAATTAAGATTTTGTGGAAAATTGCCTATACTTTACTCCTTAAAAATAGGCGGTGCGACGCCCTCTTAAGGTGTTTTATAAAAAAGTGTTATTATTCAAATTTTATATTGATAATAAAACTAACGAGACTACGTCGCGAAAATCGGGATGGACTGGTAGTGATAAAATATGATAATGGCCGTAATAAATCACAGAATAAAAGAAAGCAGAAGGGTCACTTTCAATGTTAGCAAAAAACCATTTGGTAAAGGCATATTTAGTATTATGTGTTATATCAATACACGACTAAAAATAATAATGTTTAGATATACCATTATAGTGGTTGTCGCCTTCAGAAGATTGCCGCCTCGGTTTTGTGTGATAAGTATCTTCCCCGTGTTAATTTTTATAAGTGTCTGGGGCTTGATAATATTAATGGACGTATGGTTAGGAGGTGATGTTGCAAGTTGCAACGACGATGATGTCGACTAAACCCAGTATAAACTATAAACGAATTAACGCTGGTAGACGGACGTATATTATATCTGAAAGACGTTATTCTTTATCTATGATTATTATTATATTTTATTTGATTCTTGTAATTATTATTATTTTGTTATTACTTGGTGTCAAACTACCGACAATAATCTAATAACGAATAAAAACAATGGGTTAAGCGTCAACTGTGTAAAATATCAATAAGTACAAAAAGCGCCTCTTATTAGATGCGTTTTTAAAATTGTCAACAACTAATTAGCAAATCAATAATTTTCAAAATTTAACTTCAAAACATTTTAATTTAGACAATTTTGATTATATGTATTTAAAAAAAAGTAGCGGTTGCCATTTGAAAATCAAAAGTTGGTGTCTAGTTTTCGAGGAAGGGGGGGAGATAAAAAAAAAGTTTTATATAATAAGTCAGTATTATATACACAAACAAATAATTAAACATTTTTTTTTGGAAAAATCTAAGTAGTTCATGAGTAAACTAGTGTAGGTAAAAGAATCACCCTGTACAGTATCGGTATTTTTTTTTAACATCATCGAAAAATATTCATAAACCAAAAAATAAATTTTAAACAGAAAAATACGTCGATCTTTCGACAAAATAATATACCTACAAAATTGTGTATGTTCGTAATATCAGTTTGACATGGTACTTTCGTTCGGTTGTTGTTCTTGCGTTTGCACGAATATCAAATATTGAATAAACGCACAGTAGGCCTGTACTTCATTTGATAAATAACTTCATTCGCTATAGTCGTTCAATAATTGTACTGTTTCTTTAAGTCGCAAAACGATTTAGATATTTTTAAGGTTTTTATTTTTAAAAATCGTACCAATTAAGTTTCTATTAAAATGAAGTGGTCAAAAATACTGATTATTGTTGTATTGAACTTCGCGGTACTCAAGTGTGGATCAGCTCAACCTTTGAAAACCGGATATGCATATAACACCAACGATGTAAACGTTGATCGTACCGATGACTTACAATGCGGTTATCTGTTTGGTGGGCTCACGCAAATGAAGCTAATCAGACTCATCTTTATACGTCCAGTAAGTTTACCAAGCAAAGCGTTAAGCACAATACAACATTTTAGTGCTACTGTGAAATATATGGTTACTACGTTATATTGGTTGAAACGTGAGACAATTAGTACAATGCTGCTGTTACAATTATACATAAATATAGTACTGAGTCATTTCGATTATATACTTAAGAAATCTCTAACGGATTTCGAGCGTAATGTACCAATAATGTTAAATGCTCACATGTATGTCATCGGCAAAATGCAGAAGGCCGTCGATAATTGTCCAAAAAATAATTTATTTGATTCGAAGGACGAGTTTGTCACAAACACAAAACTCACTTACCAAGACATTTTTGAGCATATTAAGGGCAACGCCGATAATTTGATGGCCGTGATAAATTATAATTGGACGATAACTGAATTACGTTCTCAGTTACTCATTGAACCGATGAGACCTAAAAGGTTTTTGATGAACAACCTGGGTAACAAAGCGGAGCTAAAAATAGAGTTTATGACGAAGTACGATGTGAAAGTCAACTGGGGTGATACGTCTGATCGGTTGTATAAAGCTTGGTATAATGCCCACGATATGGACTGGACCACCAACAACCTACTGAACATCGAAGCATACTACACGTTGAGCATCAATTTTTTGAAAGTCATCATGTATCAGTTGATTTTGAAAAATTTAACGGCCGTAGAAAAACTCGTCGGCCCGTATCCTTTGCTCATCGCACTTGGCCATTTCCAAAACAAATTGAGTATCGATAACGATCAGCAAATCAACGAGTTAAAAGTAGCTCTTGACAAATATGGCAAGAACAAGTCAGATAAGAATGAATGTTTCCTCTTCATTATAAGTTTTTTGCAAGTAGAATTGCAAAGTATTTGCGAAACCCTCGGGTGCCATTTGACCGAACCAATGCCCGTAAATGTTGATGAACTATCGAAACCTGGTAAATGTACGAATGGACATGAAGAGATTTATGTACAATGCTTGGTGAGCGAAGTGAGAACTGTTAAAATAGACGTTGACTACTTTTTAGAACATCTTGATCAGACTTTTGAAAATGTCAGTTTCGAAGTCATTCAATTAATCATTAAGTATATCAGAGAAATCAATCAGTAAACTTATTTTGTTATAATAATCGAATTTATTGATATTTATATACCATTTATATATATATATATATTATTAGTAAAAATTCATGTAGTAAGATCTTGTAGTTAATGCTTGCGTGTCATTAGCAATTTATATAACAGTGCATCCATTATCAATATAACCATATTAAAATTGTCTAATTAAACTTATTTTTCCGTTATTAATAATTACGTTGTTATAAGTCAACTAATATTATAAATATAAATTATTATTGTGCTTCTTATTAATTGAGACTTTTTTATTTATATTCTTTATTTTTTAAAACAATGTTTTAGTGTATAATGTCTGAAAGCAGACCAAAGGTTGATCTAGAATGAAGCTGTAACATATAACATTTTCTAAAAATGTTTTATTATATTGACTAGAAAACTAAACAATAGAGAAAAATCACATTTTGACTATAGTCAGTAGTCAATTTCTAGGTTGCTTAGTGTGAGTGAATCAGTCAACAGGTATTGAAAATACTTGTAAGATATAAAATGAAAAACGTGGGGTTTCTGCAATACATAATTGATGGTTGAATAGTTCACCTAAGTCACAAATAATTTGATTGCTCTGCAAATGGTATAAAAGAATTTTTGTTTTAAATATACTTTTAAGTCCATTTTAATTATAAACATCAACAATTGATGACGTAGTCATCATATAACAAAACTATTAACGATACCGTCGGTGGTGACCAGGTGTTTTAATCATTTGGCAACATTATTCTTTGTGTTCTTATAGTATAAGGTAGTTTGGCACTAATCTCAAAAGTGAATATTTCAATTATTTTTATGTTAAGAAAATTCGTTTCGTTTTTAAGCGTGTGTACAATTCACGTATAGACATATAGAAATGTGATAACATGTAAAAAAGAAATAACATATAGAACATATAGAAATGTGATAGTCTGACGAAAAAAAAATGGCAAACAATAAAGTATCCTCATTTTCTAAAAATGTTAGCTGAATTATTAGTTAGCTTCAATATATAATTTGAATTTATGCAGAATTAATCTAAAAGCATAAAATTCAATTTTTACAGTTTTTATAGAAATTTATTCAGTTTGTAAAATTGTTTTAAACTCTATCGATAAATATTCATAAACCAAATAATACATTACGCACAGAAAAATACGTCGATTAAATAAAAAATAATATAGCTGCAAAATTGTCAATGTTAGTGTTATCAGTTTGACGTGGAACTTTCATTCGTTCGGTTGCCAAATAATTTGCACGTCATTTGATAAATAAGGTTTTTATTTAAAAAATTCCTACCAATTAAATTTCTATTAAAATGAAGTGGTCAAAAATACTGTTAGTAATTGTATTCAACTTTGCGGTTCTTAAGTGTGGATCAGGACAACTTTTGCAAACCGGATATGCATATAACATCGAAGACAATGATCTAAACATTCATCCTATCAGTGACTTGAAATGCGGTTACTTGTTTAGAGGGTTAACGCAAATGCGTCTAATCAGCCTTGTGTTTTTAACTCCACTAAATTTACCAAGCAAAGCGTTAGGTATGATACGCAACTTTACAGGTACTGTGAAATATATGATATCTACGTTATATTTGTTAGATCCAACGAACATTAGTACATTGTGGCTGCTACACTTGTATACAAATACGCTACTAAATTATTTCGATTTTATACTTAAAGGTCTTATAACGCCTTTGGAACATCATACGCCAAAAATCATAGAGACTCACATGTATGTCATCGATATAATGCAACAGGCCGCAGGTAATTGTCGCAAAAATAATGTATATGATTCAGAGAGCAAGTATGTCACAAATCCAGGACTCACATACGAAGGCATTTCGGAGCTCTTTGAAAGCAACAACCGTAATTCGATGGCAATAATGGAATATAATAGCACGATAAGTAGTATAAATGTTGAGCTGCTCAGTGAAACGTTGAGACATAAAAGGCTTATGATGAACAACCTGGGTTTAAATGCGGTGTTCAAAAAAGATTTGATGACGAGGTACGGTGTGCAAGTGAACTGGGGTGATACGTCTGATCGTTTATATAACGCTTATTATAGTATTCACGATATGGACTGGACCACTAACAACCTTCGTAAGTTACTAGCATATTACACATTGCATATAGATTTTTTGAAATTCATCATGTATCAGTTGATTTTGAGACATTTGATGAGCTCAGAAACAATAAAAGTCGGTCCGTTTCAATTGTTAATCGCACTAGATCATTTCCAAAACAGATTGAATCTGAATAACGATCAGAAAATCAACGAGTTAAAAGTAGCAATTAACAAATATGGCAAGAGCAAGACAGATAAGGATGAATGTTTGATGTCCATTAAAACATATTTACAAGTAGAGCTGCAAACGATTTGCGAATCACTCGGGTGCCATTTGATTGAACCAATTACCGGAAATGTCGAAGAACTAATGATACCTTGTGAAAGTATGAATGCACATGAAGAGATTTATGTACAATGCTTAGTGAGCGAAGTGAGAACTGTTAAAGTAGACGTTGACTACTATTTAGATCATCTTAATCATATTTTTGCATATGTCAGTTTTGAAGCCATTCAATTAATCATTAAGTATATCAGGGAAATCAATCAGTAAAGTTATTTTGCCATAATAATCGAATATATTGATATTGATATACCTCTTTTTTCTATAATTATAAAAAAATATTATTTGTAAAAATTCATTGAGTAAGACATTGTAGTTAATAACTAAATATCTAAATAACCATATTTAAATTATCTATAAGAAGTATATTTATTTAATTTTCCTGTAATTAAAAATTACGTCGCTATATGTCAATATATATAATAAATTTAATAAATAAAATTCTTATTACGATTCTCATCTATCGAAACTTTTTTATTGGTGTCCTTTACTTTTGCAAACAATGTTTTAGGGATTTAGTTCTAAAAATTATGATGGCCAAATATTGATGTAAAACGGAGCTATAGCATATACAGTTTCTCTAATATCTGTATTAACTTGTTTATTTATAACCAGAAAACCAAAAAATAGGGGAAAATTATATTTTGACTGTAGTCGGTAGTCAATTTCCAGGTTGCTTAGTGCAAATAAAACTGTGTGAATCAGTCAACAGGTATTGAAAATATTATGGTAATACATTTTTAAAGTCAGACAATCAACTTTAATCGTATCCACCCTAATACTAAAATTGTATTTTTAGGCACATAATTGTTATTAGGTAAATGTACGAATAGACATGAAAATATGTATGTACAATGCTTAGTGGGTGAAGTGAGAGCTGTTAAAGTAGAAGTAGACTACCTTTTAGATTATCTTAATCAAGATTTTGTACATGTCAGTTTTTGCGTCATTCAATTAATCATCAAGTGTATCAGGGAAATATTTGGACTAGACGGGGGGGGGGGGCTAGGGAAGTTTAAATTCTTCTAAATTCGTCTAAGCTCTTAAAAAATGTCAGCAACCAAACAGACATCGTCCCCAAGTAAGGTTTTTAGTTTTTACTGAGATTGTGATGGAACTCTCAGAGTTTTCATAAGGTCTGAACTTCCTTAGCCGCCCCTCTAAACCAGTCAAATAAATATATTCATATATATGTCTTTATGTCAAACGATAACTGGCTATTTGTTAATGAATTATTTTCTGTGAGTCTCTGGAAAAGCATAAGGATTTTAGTTAAAAATTGTTGAAGTATGAAAAAATAATTATAAATACTATCGGTTTGCCTTAAATTAGGAATTGTTATGAAGCTTTTTGCGGATTGAAAATCAAACGAAGCAAATAGTATTAATTAGAAATGTTGATATTGGTTTTTCTTAAGCACAATCGACTTGTTGCTATTTAAATACTTCTCTTAGTATTTAAATACCAACAATTATGATAAAAATTATTAGGATTAGAGGAAAGAAAAACGGCAGCAGATAAGACAATAACATTATTATAGACACAAAAACATTGACCGAGCTAATTAAACAAATGTAAAACAAAAATCAGTGCAAGCTTATCACAAAAACAATGACTAAATGATAAAATCGCTTTAAAAAACAAACTGCTTTGATGAGTTATTGCGGCTGATAGCTACTATATTTTAAATAGTAAATATATAAATTAGTGTTGATAAAAGCATTGCAAAGACAATTATGTCCTTAGAAATAGCCTATAATATTGCATACAATTAGTACGAATGGTGTGGCCCCCTTGTTAAAAGACTGTCAGAACTAAAAACAATAATTATTTTTTAGGGAATTCAACTTAAAGATGATACCTGCTCGCCAATGGGAGATTAGGTTAGCTTACAATAAGACTATAAGTTCACTGATCATCAGTATTTCACGGGTTGCTATATATATATATATATATATATATTACAGGGTGATTCATTAATGATAAAACCGTGTATGCATGTATAAATTATTTTAACTGTTAGAAAATATTAGTTTTTTTGTATAATTTCGCACATCGGACGCTGAGTGTACATGTATACAAAAATATAATATACATAAATACATAAATATTTGGTTAGGTAATACTATATGAAAGTACTGTCTATAGAATTCTTGCCATACCGAAAACACAATTTTCCTTCAAGCGATTACTCGGTAACACGATTTTTGTACTTTAGAAAAACACTTGACTTGATGTGCGTTTTCATTTCCATTGTTTGCATAAATGAAAATATAGTAACCGTTATGGCAAAACTTTTTTACACTTTTAAAATACTGTGAATATTATTTAGATACCCATATTGAGCTCGCGTTAAAATAGTGTGCAGCTATCGTCGATAACATATTATACAGGGTACTTAGAATTTCATGGCCCAACCTGATATTATTGACGATTTGTTGAAATGATAAATAACTCACTTATGTGAACCCACCTATGAAGTAAGAAAGGTTAAAGTTGACCTTGACTACTTTTTAGATCATCTTAATCAAGATTTTGTGTATGTCAGTTTTGACGTCATTTAATTAATCATTAAGTATATCAGAGAAATCAATCAGTAGGCTTATTTTGTCATAATAGTCGAATATATTGATTTTTATATACCTTTTTTCCTATAATTATAAAAAAATATTATTTGTAAAAATTCATTGAGTAAGACATTGCCGTCTATAACTAAATGCTCGTGTGCCATTAGCAATTTTTATAACAATGCATCCAACAACAAAACAACCATAGTAAAATTGTCTAATTAAACTTATTATTCCGTTATAAAAAATTACGTTGTTATAAGTCAATAAATAAAATAATATATAATTATTATTTAGAACTTTTTTATTTATATTCTTTACTTTTGCAAACAATGTTTTAGGGATTTATTGTTTGGATATTAGACCCAAGGTTGATCTAGAACGAAGCTATAACATGAACAATTTTCTCAAAATTTGTATCCAAACTTTTTTTTTATTAACCTGTTACGGACGCTGTCCTTTACCGCACACATGCACACACATATACACATATATAGTACGTATACATTATATTAATGAGGCAAAGACAATGTTAACATTAAAATACAAGTGCAATGACTTAAAGCGCAATTACCTAACCGATAAAGTATTTGCAAATATACAAATCGCATGCTCGCTGTGGCATTTTGGCCATAGTCTGTAGTCAATTTCCAGGTTGCTTAGTGTGAGTTAGAGAAGAAGTTATATCCATCGGACAGTTCTCTCCCGGTTATTCTAAGATGCACATGCAGATTAAAAAAGGACTAGACTGCAATAAGCCCTGCGTTTTTCACTTTAAATATATTTTTTAGTCCAATTTAATCATCAATATCATCCATTGATGACGTGGTCATCATATTACAAAACTATAAACGATACCTTCGGTGGTGACCAAGTGTTTTAATCATATGGCAACCTTTATTCTTTGTATTCTTATATTATAAGGTAGTTTGGCACTAATCTCAAAAGTGATTGTTTCAATTATTTTTATGTTAAGAAAATTCGTTTCGTTTTTAAGCGTGTGTATAGATATAGAAATGTGATAGGCTGACAAAAAAAAAATGACAAACAATAAAGTATCCTCATTACTGTATTAATAAGTACACATTATAGTTCAAGCTCTAAATAAAGGTTTTTTGAAAAATGACCTATACTTTATTCCTTAGAAATGGCCTGGGTAGCGTTCTCAGTGCCTTCACCCCCCCCCCCACCATTAAAAAAAAATGTTTATTTAAATACGCCCTTGTCCAAATGGTCAGCTGATACCATAATAAGTCTGGAGCTTTTACGTTGTATGTATTAGATAAATCAAAAATCTGTGTGCTATAGATATTACACTTATAAGCTAGTATGGTTAAAGATCATTACAGATTATGGATGGAATCCAAAAACGGGTCAAGAATGATTTAGAAAGGTTGGACCTGATGCATGCGTACAATAAAACAATTTTAATTTATTCAGAACTCATATAAACACATAAAATTAAATTTGTACACGTTTTTGCATCGATGTTATTTTAATTAATTAAAAATGCAAAGGCTATAGTAATTCGAAAACACTTTTGGAAAACATACAATTTCGGTATTTTTATTTTTAACCTCATCGAAAAATATTTATAAACTAAAAAAAAATGTAATCAGAAAAATACGTCGATCTGACGACAAAATAATATACCTACAAAATTGTCAATATAAATTTGTATTGACTCGGAATTCCCCCCCCCCCAATAACAGTGTTTCCCGAATCAAGGAATCAAAATAGCATTTATTCTGAAACGATGTCTACACTGAAAATTGATATTTTACATTGGATTATCAAATATAAACTACTATCATACGTTATATCAGTGCTGGATTTAACCATTGTGCCGCTGTAAGCACTAAACGAATTGCCGCCTTTTTCTTAAAAATATTTTCTAAGTCAAAAAAATGTTATTAAGCGTACAAATATAGATGTTTCCTTTGTTACTAAACAATTTAATAATGTAAAATAAAATTATGCAGCTGTTATAAAAACGATACATACATTTCATATGAAAAACTTAATGATAAAAAATATGATATAAATCCCAATGATAATTAAATCGACTATTGGTACGTCCTCTTTTTCATTAATTTCATTTGAAAAACTTTCTGAGGAAGTAACGTTTTGAATAAAAGTGATGTCCGTTGTATAAGTATCCGAGTTTGAACAATTAGCGAACGTTTCTCGTGTAGGGTCAACTTAATTTATAATAATATTTTGTTTATAAAAATAAACTATTTTTGGGATTTTTCGCACTAAGTTATTTAGTTAATTTTTTTTTTCTACCGCGATTTTTTTTATACTGATACCCACTAAGACGTGATCGACCGTCATTCATTTTACTAGAGCTTTTATTAAAAAAGTAACAAATCACATCTTTCATATTTTCATCTACACTAAAAAATTAAACATCGAACACGTGCCCGTTCGCGATCGCGATTGCATCGTCTTATGATTAGGTTTTTATTAAATATTATATTTTGTGATATTAACATGTTGTAGACTTAAAAATGAAAACTGATTTCGTGATAAAAGATAAACACACAATCGTCAACCCATGCTATGTTATTCTAATTTATTACCAATATCTTATTTTATGATCGTCGTATCCTGATGTCTGTTGTAAAGTCATAAATACAACATGACAATGGCAAATTTAATAAAAATGAAGTAATGCTAATAGGACGATTTGTTCTATGATTTTGAAATTAAAAATCCCCTTATAACAATAAATATTAATAATAATTATTACCACAATCTCTTTGATCTAAAAAAATGTACGGTATATTTTTTACAATATTAGGCTACACTGATATGGGGTGGGGGGAAAGTGAGCACCTTCCGGTATTGTCATTTCTATTATTTGGTAATATCAGTTTGACGTGGTACTTTCTTTCGTTCAGTTGTTGTTATTGCATTTGTACGAATATCAAATATTAAATGAACTCACAGTTTGCCTAAAACTGTTTAATTGTATTGTTTTTTTAAATCTCAAAACGAATTCAGGTATTTTTAAGGTTATATTTTCAAAATTTGTGTTAAAATACCAATTAAATTTGTATTAAAATGAAGTGGTCAAAAATACTGTTTATAATTGTATTGAACTTCGTGGTACTCAAGTGTGGATCAGCACAACCTTTGCTTACCGGATATGCATATACCACCGAAGGCAATGATCTAAACATTGATCGTATCAGTGACTTGAAATGCGGTTACCTGTTGGGTGGGCTAACGCAAATGCGTCTAATCAGCCTTGTGTTTTTAACTCCACTAAATTCACCAAGCAAAGCGTTAGGCATGATACGCAACTTTACAGGTACTGTGAAATATATGATATCTACGTTATATTTGTTAGATCCAACGAACATTAGTACATTGTGGCTGCTACACTTGTATACAAATATGCTACTGAACTATTGCGATTATATACTTCAGAATTCTAAGTCGAAGTTCGAGCCTAATGTTCCAAAAATCATAGAGACTCACATGTATGTCATCCGCAAAATGCAGCAGGCCGCAGGTAATTGTCGCAAAAATAATGTATATGATTCGGAGAGCAAGTATGTCACAAATACAGGACTCACATACGAAGGCATTTCGAGTCTATTTGTTAGCAACAACCGTAGTTTGATGGCAATAATGGAACATAATAGCACGATTAGTAATATAAATGTTGAGTTGCTCAGTGAGATGATGAGAACTAAAAGGCTCTTGATGAACAACCTGGGTATAAATCAGGTGTGCAAAGATGATTTGATGACGAGGTACAATGTGCAAGTGAACTGGGGTGGTACGTCTAATCGGTTATATAACGCTTATTATAGTATTCACGATATGGACTGGACCACTAACAACCTTCGTAACATCGAAGAATATTACAATTTGCACATACATTTTTTGAAACTCATCATGTATCGGTTGATTATGAAACAATTGATGGGTTTAGAAAAAATAAAAGTCGGTCCGTATCATTTGTTAATCGCACTAGAGCATTTCCAAAACAAATTGAATATCACTAACGATCAGCAAATCAACGAGTTAAAAGTAGCATTCGACAAATATGGCAAGAGCAAGTCAGATAAGCATGAATGTTTGATGTCCATTAAAAGTTATTTGCAAGTAGAGCTGCAAACGATTTGCGAATCACTCGGGTGCCATTTGATTGAACCAATGACCGGAAACGTCGAAGAACTAATAGTACCTAGCGAAAGTATGAATGCACATGAAGAGATTTATGTACAATGCTTAGTAAGCGAAGTGAGAACGGTTAAAGTTGACGTTGACTACTTTTTAGATCATCTTAATCGTGCTTTTGTACATGTCAGTTTTGAAGCCATTCAATTAATCATTAAGTATATCAGGGAAATCAATCAGTAAAATTGTTTTGTCATAATAATCGATTATATTGATTTTTATGTACGTTTTTTTCTACAATTATAAAATAATGTTATTAATATAAAATTCTTGTTGTAAAACATTGTCGTCTATAACTAAATGCTCACGTGTCATATGCAATTTTTATAACAGTGCATCCATCATCTAAATAACCATATTAAAACTGATTATACAAATTATGTGTAACATATTTTTCCGTTATCAATAATTACGTTGTTATAAGCTAATAAATATAATACGTATAACTATTATTGCGCTTATTATTTATCAAAACTTTTTTATTTCTATTCTGTACTTTTGGAAACAATGTTTTAGGGATTTATTGTTTGAACATTAGACTGTAGGTTGATCTAGAACGAAGCTATAACATAAACAATTTTCTCAAAAATTTGTATTCAAACCTTTTTTTAATTAACCAGTTACGGACATGCACACACATATACACATATACAGTACGTAAACATTATATTATTGTGGTAAAGACAATGTTAACATTAAAATACAAGTGCAATGACCTAAAGCGCAATTACTTAACCGATAAAGTATTTGCAAATATACAATTCACACGTCCGCTGTGGTATCCATTCTCTACTTGGGGTCACTATTATCTAAGACCATACACTGTTTATTTTACAAATAAACAATTCGCACGTCCGCTGTGGCGTCCTGTCCCATACTCGATACCTCTTTACACACCCATATAAATAGGAGTAAATCACTGGCTTCAGACAGACGAACTAGAGCACTCAATTGGACAAGTGGTCTTATCATTGTTTTGTTTGTACACTTATTGTTTTACTCTAAAATAAAGTATTTGTAAAACTGAAAGTATTCAGAGTGTTTTCTAATTATTATATTTTTTTATATAAACTATCTCCCTGCATTGATCCATCGACGAGAAGTCTAAAAAATCATATATGCTATAGCATATATAGTTTCTCTAATATCTGTATTAACTTTTTTTTATTACAAACCAGAAAACCAAAAAATAGGGGGAAATTACATTTTGACCATAGTCAGTAGTCAATTTTCAGGTTGCTTAGTGTGAGTAAATCGGTCAACAGGTGTTGAAAATATTATGGTAACTTATAAGCTGAGTATAAATTTTTGTTAACATTTGAGTACAATTTAAATTTATTCAGAACTGATATAAACACATAAAATTCAATTTTTACGCGTTTTGTTATTTCACACATTTGTATAATATCAGTTAAACATATATGTTAGACCCTATCTTCGGACTAATTTTCAAATAAAAAGTTCCAAAATTGCCCTCCAAAAAAATGTAAAAACAAAATAAGTTATAAAAAATCGTATATAATTTTGAAACACGGCACTTAAATGTTTTAGTATATTTCTTTTTAACTCTATCGATAAATATTCACAAAACAAATAATACATTTAATTAGAAAAATATGACGAGCTAACGACAAAATAATATACCTAAAAAATTGTCAATGTTGGTAACAACCGTTTGACGTGGCACTTTCTATCGTTCGCTTGTTGTTATTGCATTGAATATTAAATGAACCCACAGTATGCGTACACGTCACTTGAAATATAACTTCATTCTCTATAATTGTTCATTTGTACTGATTTTTTTTTAAATTACAAAACGATTTAGATAATTTTAAGGTTTTTATTTTCAAAATTCGTACCAATTAAATTTCTATTAAAATGAAATGGTCAAAAATTCTGTTAGCGATTGTATTTAACTTCGCGGTTCTCAAGTGTGGATCAGCTCAACCTTTGCTAACCGGATATACATATAACACCGAAGACAATGATCTAAACGTTGATCGTATCAGTGACTTGAAATGCGGTTACTTGTTTAGCGGGTTAACGCAAATGCGCCTAATCAGCCTTGTGTTTTCACCACCAGTAAGTTCATCAAGCAAAGCGTTAGAGTTGATTCGCAATCATAAAGATATTGTAAAATATATGATATCTATGTTATATTGGTTAGATCGAACGAACATTAATACATTGTGGCTGTTACACTTGTATACAAATATGCTACTGAATTATTTCGATTTTATACTTGATACTTCTATAACGGCTTTGGAACATAATGCACCAAAAATCATAGAAACTCACATGTATGTCATCGGCATAATGCAGCAGGCTGCAGGTAATTGTCGGAAAAATAATGTATATGATTCGGAGAACAAGTATGTCACAAATCCAGGACTCACATACGAAGGCATTTTGGAGCTATTTGTTAGCAACAACCGTAATTTCATGGAAATAATGGAATATAATAGCACATTGAGTAATATCAATTTGGAGTTGCTCAGTGAAACGATGAGACATAAAAGGCTCATGATGAACAACCTGGGCATTAATCCGGTGTTCATAAAAGATTTGATGACTAGGTACAATGTGCAAGTGAACTGGGGTGGTATGTCTGATCGGTTATATAACGCTTATTATAGTACTTACGATATGGACTGGTCCACTAACAACCTTCGTAAGTTACTAGCATATTACACATTGCATATAGATTTTTTGAAATTCATCATGTATCAGTTGATTTTAAGACATTTGATGAGCTCAGAAACAATAAAAGTCGGTCCGTTTCAATTGTTAATCGCACTAGATCATTTCCAAAACAGATTGAATCTGAATAACGATCAGAAAATCAACGAGTTAAAAGTAGCAATTAACAAATATGGCAAGAGCAAGTCAGATAAGGATGAATGTTTGATGTCCATTAAAACATATTTACAAGTAGAGCTGCAAACGATTTGCGAATCACTCGGGTGCCATTTGATTGAACCAATAACCGGAAATGTCGAAGAACTAATGATACCTTGTGAGAGTATGAATGCACATGAAGAGATTTATGTACAATGCTTAGTGAGCGAAGTGAGAACTGTTAAAGTAGACGTTGACTACTATTTAGATCATCTTAATCATATTTTTGCATATGTCAGTTTTGAAGCCATTCAATTAATCATTAAGTATATCAGGGAAATCAATCAGTAAAGTTATTTTGCCATAGTAATCGAATATATTGATATTTATATACCTTTTTTTCCTATAATTATAAAAAATATTATTTGTAAAAATTCATTGAGTAAGACATTGTAGTTAATAACTAAATATCTAAATAACCATATTTAAATTATCTATAAGAAGTATATTTAACTTAATTTTCCTGTAATTAAAAATTACGTCGCTATATGTCAATATATATAATAAATTTAATAAATATAATTCTTATTACGATTCTCATCTATCGAAACTTTTTTATTTGTATCCTTTACTTTTGCAAACAATGTTTTAGGGATTTAGTTCTAAAAATGATGATGGCCAAATATTGATTTAGAACGGAGCTATAGCATATACAGTTTCTTAAATATCTGTATTAACTTTTTTTTTTATTGACCAGAAAACCAAAACATACGGTAAAATTATATTTTGACTATAGTAAGTAGACAATTTCCAGGTTGCTTAGTGTAAATAAAACTGTGTGAATCAGTCAACAGTCATTGAAAATATAATGGAAATACATTTTTAAAGTCAGACGATCTATTTTAATCGTATCCATCCTAATATTAAAAATAGGCACATAATTGTTATTAGGTAAATGTACGAATAGACATCGATACGGGTGGCGGGCGCTTCGTCGTATTGTTAATGTAATAATGCTGGTGTATGGTATCACGGTTGTTTTTATTCAATAGAAGCAAGAATTATTACAGTAGGTATATGTGAGGGCCAGACTCGAAAAAGTTAGCCACTCACGCTGGGGAAATGGGCTCGTACTTGGCCTCGCAAAAAGGGAATCTATGTTCCTACCGGGAGTATAAATGTGTGGGGGATATAGGGGGTGGCTCGCCGGTACGCAGGGCAGCTCTAATAAGCGCCTACGGACTTGAGTCACCGGGAGGAGAGCGCAACTCGATTAAGTGGCTCTGTGAATTATTGTTCGCCCTTAGAAGGACGGTTTTCGTAGTCGGATTATTCAGGTTGTCCGTCGTTGTATCCGGGTTCAATTTTTACACGCTTTGTAAAATTGTTTCAAACTGCATCGATAAATATTCATAAATCAAATAATACTACATTTCGCACAGAAAAATACGTCGAACTAAATAAAAAATAATATAGCTGCAAAATTGTCGATGTTGGTATTATCAGTTTGACGTGGAACTTTCATTCGTTCGGTTGCCAAATATTGTGCACGTCATTTGATAAATAACACCGTTCTCTATAGTCGTTCAATTGTACTGTTTTTTTAAATCACAAAACGATTTAGATATTTTTAAGGTTTTTATTTTCAAAATTCTACCAATTAAATTTCTATTAAAATGAAGTGGTCAAAAATACTGTTTATAATTGTATTGGACTTTGCGGTTCTCAAGTGTGGATCAACACAATCTTTGCTAACCGGATATACATATAACACCGAAGACAATGATCTAAACGTCGATCGTACCGATGATTTGATATGCGGTTACCTGTTTAGCGGGCTAACACAAATGCGTCTGATCAACCTTGTGTTTTCGCCCCCAGTAAGTTTATCAAGCAAAGCGTTAGGCATGATACACCATCTTAATGGTTATGTGACATACATGATATCTTCTTTATATTGGTTGGCTCCAACGAAAATTAGTACATTGTGGCTGCTACAGTTGTATACAAAAATGCTACTCAGTTATTTCGATAATATACTTAAGAAGTCTCTAACGGATTTCGAGCATAATGCACCAAAAATCAAAGACACTCATATGTATGTCATCGGCAAAATGCAAATCGCAGCAGGTAATTGTCGCGAAAATAATGCATACGATTCGGAGAGCAAGTATGTCACAAATACAGGAATGACTTACGAAGACATTTCGGTGCTGGTTATTAACAACAGCCGTATTTTGATGCAAATGATGACATCTAACAGTACGATGAGTAATTTGCAAATAGAGAGACTCGGTGAAACAATGAGACCTAAAAGGCTCTTGTTGAACAACCTGGGCGTAAATGCGGAGCTCAAAAACCAGTTGATGACGAGGTACGATGTGCAAGTGTATTGGGGCGATACGTCTGATCGGTTAGAAGATGCTTGGCTTAATGCTCACGATATGGACTGGACCACCAACAACCTTCGTAACTTCCTAGCATATTACACGTTGCATACAGATTTTTTGAAACTCATCATGTATCGGTTGATTATGAAACAATTGATGGGTTTAGAAAAAATAAAAGTCGGTCCGTATCATTTGTTAATCGCACTAGAGCATTTCCAAAACAAATTGAATATCATTAACGATCAGCAAATCAACGAGTTAAAAGTAGCATTCGACAAATATGGCAAGAGCAAGTCAGATAAGGATCAATGTTTGATGTTCATTTTAAGTTATTTACAAGTAGAACTGCAAAAGATTTGCGAAACTCTTGGGTGCCATTTGATCGAACCAATGCCCGTAAATGCTAATGAACTAACGAAACCTGGTAAATGTACGAATGGACATGAAGAGATTTATGTACAATGCTTAGTGAGTGAAGTGAGAACTGTTAAAATAGACGTTGACTACTTTTTAGAACATCTTAATCATATTTTTGCATATGTCAGTTTTGAAGCCATTCAATTAATCATTAAGTATATCGGGGAAATCAATCAGTAAGCTTATTTTGTCATGATAATCGAATATATTGGTTTTATATTCATTTTTATCTATAATTATAAAGTAATGTTATAAGTATAAAATTATTGTTGTAAGACGTTGTCGCCTATAACTAAGTGCTCGCTTGTCATTAGTAATTTATATAACAATGTGTCAAACATCAAAATAACCATATTAAAATTGTCCATTTTTCCGTTATCAATAATTACGTTGTTATAATTCAATAAATATAATTCTTATTGCGAATATTATTTTTCGAAACTTTTTTATTTGTATGCTTTACTTTTACAAACAAAGTTTTAAGGATTTATGTCTGCAATTAGACCGATTATTGATCTAGAACGAAGATATAATTCTCAAAATATTGTATTTGAACCGAACCAGAAAACCAAAAAAAAAGGGCAAATTACAATTTGACCATAGTCAGTAGTCCATTTCCAGGTTAAAAGGTGTGTCATTGTGAATCTGCAACAGGTACTGCAAATAATATGGTAATACATTTTAAAGTCAGACGATCAACTTTAATCGTATCAACCCTAGAACTTAAAATACATTTTTAGGCATATAACTTTACGTTACATAATAGTTTGTTTGTCACAAACTTCAAAAGTGAATAATTAAATTATATTAATGTTTATAAAGGATTCGTTTAATTTGTAAGTGTGTATATTTATAACATGTAAATTGTTTTAATTCATATGTTTGATATTAAATTATACGTTTATGCGTTGTTAATGGTTAATTATTGAATGCATTTTTTTAAATTCTTTTTAAACAACAATTTTATTAACCCAACAATACAATGACACGTCGTCTCAGAAACATTGATAGATCAGCAAAGGTATTCTATACAGTTATTATTTAAATAAAAATAATATTTTTAATTTATCACGTTTTCAATATGGACTAAAAAATATAGAACAATTTCAAATGTGGAAATACTTGTAAGGTCTCAAAAACCAAAAACGTGGGTCGCATCCAATACTTAATTAATGATTGAATAGTTCACCTGTCACTAACAATTTCATTGCACTACAAATAGTCAAGATTCATTTTTTGCTTTTTTAATTTGTTTATAAACAAGTACAGATATATATATATATATATAAAAAAACTCTACCCCACAGATAAAGTTTTTTCCTATATATTGTGATAATTTGGTAAATCTACTGTTATTACTGGCCTCATATACTTGATCTGAGCATAGCAGTTTTGATGGGAAAACAATTGTAATTTATCCTATAGAAATGTGATAGTCTGACTGCTGACAAAAAAAAATGGCAATCACATTTTGACCACAGTTAGTAGTCAATTTCCAGTTTTTCTTAGTGTGATTGAATCAACAGGCATTGGAAATATGGCAATACATTTTTAAAGTCAAGTTAATCAACTTTAATCGATTCCACCCTTAATTTTTAGGTACAATCCTCTTTTTGTTATTTGTATTTTCGTCACAATTTTAGGATTTTAATGTTTTAGACATTTTTTTCTTAACTCCGTCGATAGATACACATAAATCAAGTATTAAATTTGAATAAGAAAAATACTTCGATCTAACGACAAAATAATACAGGGTGATTTTTTTATCATGAACCACTTAATACTCATAGGGTTTAATAAGAAATTACTTTTTTTTTCATACTGTTTTTATACAATGTGATCACAATTTTTCACATTTTTTTTGTAATTTCTCATTATTATTATGTTTTTTTTTTTGGTACGTTAAGTAGTAATTTTAAGTACATCTTACTTAAAATTTGGAACGTTAAAACGAACCATCAAAATTTGAAAACGTTTTCGAATCAGATATACTATTTACATTAATTTTTCGCACATAGATATTTTATCATTTCACAATTACTGCCTTTAATATTCCGTAAAACAAATAGTAAATTTTAATAAAAAAAAAAAAATCTTGCTCGAACCACGGTTACAGACAATAACAACTTGTATTAAGTATGGCTATTGACGGATATTAATAAAGCAAAAATACAGTACAATGGGTTCGAGACTTGAGTTGGACCCAGCTGACTAAATGTATTAAAATCACTTTCAAATAAACGTTTCGAAGCGAATCTATAGAATTACACAACCACCTATAGTAGTATTGTAACAATAATGACTAATGTACAACCGTCAAATGGTAATTTTACCCTTTTGTTGGGTTTTCCCTGGATAAAAAATAGTTTCACTACAGTTTTTAAAAAAAAAATTGTACATGACGTTATAGCCCCATTTTAGACAACTTGAACTAATTGAACCAGTCAAATAAATGTATTCATATGTGTCTTTATGTCAAACGATAACTGGATATTTATTACTGTAATTATTTTCTGCGAGTCTCTGGAAAAGCATAAGAATTTCAATTAAAAATTGTGGAAATATGAAAAAATAACTATAAATACTATCACTTTGTCTTGAATTAGGATTTTTAATGATGCTTTTTGCGGATTGAAAATCAAACGTAGCAAATAATATTAATTGTAAAATGTCGATGGTGTTTCTTTTTAAAACATTATCTTAGTATTTAAATAGCAACAATTTTGATTAAAATAATTAGAATTAGAGGAAAGAAAAACGGCAGAAGATAAGACAATAACATTATTATAGACACTAAAGCGTTGACCGAGCTCATTAACAAATCTAAAACAAAAATCAGTGCAACTAATCACAAAAACAATGACCGAATGATAAAAACGCTTTTTAAAAAAAAACTGCTTTGATGAGTCATTGCGGCCGATAGCTACTATATTTTATATAGTAAAAATATAATCAAGTGTTGATAAAAGCACTGCAAAGACAATAATGTCCTTAGAATTAGCCTATATTATTGCATACAATTAGTACGTATGGTGTGGTCCCCTTAATAAAAGACTGTCAGAACTAAAAAAAAAAAATTATGTTTTAGGGAATTCAACTTAAAGATTAAACCTGCTCGCCAATGGGAGATTAGGTTAGCTTACAGTAAGACTATAAGTCCACTGATCATTAGTGTTTCACCGGTTGCATATATATATGCAGGGTGATTCATTAATGATAAAACCGTGTATGTATGTAAAAATTACTTTAACTGTTAGAAAATATGAGGTATTTTTGTATAATTTCGCAAATCGGTGCATGTTTTTCAGATGTAACGCCTAGTTCAAAAGTAAACAAAAAAATATGATTTTTACTTAAGTTCTTGCCATAACGAAAACACAATTTTTCTTTTAGCGTTTTCTCGGCAACACGATTTTTGTACTTTAGAAAAACACTTGTGTGTGATTTGATGTGCGTTTCCACTGTTTACATAAGTGAAAATATAGTAACCGTTTATGGCAAAACGTTTTTACACGTTTAAAAGACTGAACGCATTATTTAGATACCCATATCGCCAAAATATACAGGGTGTTTAGAATTTCATGGCCACCTGAGTTAATTGACGATTTGTTGAAATGATGAAAAAACGACCTATGTGACTAGTTTTTGGTTTTTATCATACAATGTTATTTTGAAGTTTATAACATCAACCCATTGAACCGCAGCCTTTTCAAATGCCTTTTTTTAAAAATAAAAATGCGATTTTGTCATGCATTTTAACAATTATTTAGCTAAGGGGACGTCGTACCGCTTTTTATTAAGGAGTTGGGTATAGGCAATTTTTTGAAAAATCTCAGTTAAAAGCTTAAATTGTAATTTGTAATTATTAGATTAGTAATAAGAATTATTTTTAGGCGGTTAATTTATTTTCCGGACTATCGCAGCATCTATGTCATAGGTTTTAAATATTTTTTTCATCTAAACTTAGTTTTCTAATTATTCCAAAAACACTGCTTACTGGGTGGTTTTTGAGTAAAAAACCCAATTATAAATGTTCCAGGTGAGAACTTTTTCTATGTTTTGTTGGAAACTAATTTTCGAATGTTGGTTTAGATACGGAACAATAAAGATAGGTCATATTTTGAATTATTCAAATGTATATATCTTAAAATTAAAATCTAATTCCAACAAAGCATAGTTAAAGTTCTCGAGACTTAAGACTTAATACCATTGCAAATATAAAAGTACTATTTGGGTGCTATTATTTTGAGGTGCGACGTCCTCTTAAGTTGATTGAAATACAATAAACAAAATTAGAATATTATAAAAAAACTGACCATAAATAACTGAAATTACATCTGATAAATTTATTTACTTAAGTAATTTATGAATTTGTATTTTTCATGAAAATTTACGTTTGTAATATATTTTAGAAATAAACGATTTATACTTTTATATTAATTTTAATACCTACTGATTACATTTTCTAAGGTTCGAATTTTGTGTAATCAGATTGGTTTCACGGAATAAAATGCTTCTTGTAAATTTTTTATTTACATAGTTGGCATTTTATTTTATAAATCTATGATGCTAACAAAATTTGGTGACGATTTGTATTTAATTTCTCCTAATTTTAAATTAAATAATCACCAATACTTCACATAATACAAAATACAACTTTTTAGCTCCACCCAATTATATAGAATATACAAAAGTATTACTATATTATAATACAGTTATTCAAAAGTAAACGATTAAACGATTCAATAATTTTCAAACGTCTTAAAAAAAAATCAAATTGATTTAAATTTATTGGTCCAAGGCGTGGACGAGATTGGTTACCCTATACGACTTGTGTTTTTGGAAGGGTATACCTTCAATGTGTGTGAATCTTGAGGTTCTTTTTTCAGTTTCTCGAGAGGTAGGTATCTTATTGGGTTATTATAATTATACATTTTGTCAGCTTATTTGGCAAAAGATGTATCGCCAAAAAAATAGATTTTCGGTATTTTACACTATTTAAAAGAAAAAAAAATTATATGTATATTGGTATACCTAATATTGATTATATTTCAGTGTTTTTTCCCCCATAAAATGTGTCATAAGCAGTAAGCAATTGTTATTGAAATAAATAGAATAAATTAAACGTTTTTTTTTTTCATTTTAGTGTGAAATTTGGTATTTTGGAGTCCATTGCTAACTAGGCTGACGAAATGTGGTATATCACAGATGAGTATTGTTGAAGAATATGGTTTAATATTTAAAACAATTTAACCTTTTTCGATGTCATTTTTATGTTCTAGATACTACAAATAGGACGTTAGAATTTCAACTCTATGCCACTAATTTTAAACTATTGAAATAAGTTTATTTTCCTGGTAGCAAAAAATATGTAGCCTATCACTGAAAAGTATTTGGGGAGGTGGTGTAAACCTTAAAAACTTAACTTCGTTCGGAATCAAAAATTATCCTATTTTCGTTGTTTTGTGATTTATTCGAACGTGTGCTGGGCCGTCACGTTTACACTGTCATGTGAGTATAAAAATATGTATACAGCGTGATGTGTAACATACTCATTTTCTCGGAAAATGTAAATATTTTGAAAACTGTTTTCCCCATACTTTAAGTTATATATTTTTCAATACTTAGAAAACCATCAACGCTCATACGTAAAATAAGTTTCTATAGACTTTGTTTTTATCAAACGGGAACATGCGTTTTTAATTGTCAGGGTTTGAATTTTTAATTTTCATCACACTCCTCGTTTGCTATGACATTGTAAAGACATTCGAATTTAAGATCAATATTCGCTTACAACATTTCCCAATTAAATAATAACATTGACCCGGTCGATAACAATATTAACACTGTAGCTGTGCTTGAATAAGTAGATCCAAGTCAGCTTGTCTGTCATTATCTCAAAACATATTTTCAATGGTGTTATTGGTGGTGTTATCGCCTGTCGGACAATGTGCGAACGTGAATGCGAATTTTACGGGCTACTGGAATAAAGAAAAGTGTAATATCTTTGCAAAGTCATAGCAATATAGATTGGTAAAAACGAGAAATTCGAACGCTAACATTTTTTGGAAAACAGTTTTTCTGCACGTTAATTGAATTATTGAAAACATGTGATTTTGTTAAAAAAAAAAAAAAAAAAAAACGAGATCCATACGGGATGAAGATGAATCCATTTTCGACGTATTGAAAAATATAGTAAGCCTCTACAAGGTTTTTGGATTTCTACAGAAAACGAGTGTCCTACTGTATCAGATGGATCATCCTGTATACAAACATATGTATAACATTATATGCGTGTGTACGAGGTCGGTGTTATTCTGGTGCCGGTGTTCGGTCGCCGGTCGTGTGGGAAAGTGGCTTGGGTACAAAAATAGAACGGCCACCGGCACCGGCGGCGGTCGTGCACGGTGCACACACACACACACACGGGCCAGCATTTTGCCGTCGCGTACCGGCACAGTCGCGGTCGTCGTGGACGTTCGGTCGCCGTCGGTTTTTGGAAGGAATACTCGGGAAAAACTGGGAAAAAAAAAAAACAATACCCAAGCACGCTGTACACCGTTATTCCGTATTATTATATGTATTGTAGGTAGTGTATTGTTTTAGCTTGTTTTTTTTTTTTTGGGGTTACCCGGTAGGAGACTCGGGTATGTACCGCGGTAGCCGCGGCGGCGGGCATTTATAATATTGTATTTGAGCGTAGAAAAAAAAAAAAAAATGTTCCAATATCATATACTCAAATAAAAATAACGCTCTTACGGCTCTCGCCCCCCCCCCCACCGCCGAATGATGTATATTATTAATAATAACCGCGTTACCTCGGCTAGAGTTGCCCGCCACCGCCGCCAGCCGTTCGCTGGTATTATGTAGAATTTTCCCGGTGTATTTTATTTATAATTATTTTAAATCGTTTGCTACAGATCCCATTTGGAGGTGTAATATTGTATCGTGTGTCTTTTTGTCCGCACGACGGTTGTGTAAGTACTTTCCGTTGGTCTCGTCCGTTCCAAACCGTATCTCGCAGACAGCAAGCAAAAAAAAAAAAAAAAACGCCGGTCGTTATAATAATAATAATATATTATTATAATAGTGTTGGCCGGTCGTGGTGACCGTCGCGTGTGATGGAGACGTTGTGACGAGTTCAGACACAAGTCCAAAGGAAAAAAACAATAAAAAATATTAAAGCATGGCCGACGGCGATGGCAGTTCCGAACAAGATGATGTATCGTTTCTGCGGACGGTAAGTCCATCCAGCTTTTACCTATCCTCGTGGACGAATGGTCTGTTAATTATTAGAAAAAAAAAACATAGCAAAGTAGCCAAAAAACTTGAAATTGCACCATCTTGTGTAGTCGAAATTTCGTCTGGCTTTTTGGTCTAAAATAAACCAAAATGGATTTTACTGATAGAATGTAAGCTATTTAAATTAAAAACAATACCTCAAAGCTTATACAAATTAACCGGTAAATTAATTGACATAGTCAACGTTTATTAAAACCACTTTTTTCTTAAATATCGCCTATACATAACTTCCGCATGTCCCTTAATGTTCTATGGAAAATAATATGTGACTGACTATTTACTTGTCCCAAAACGAAGGTGTTCACTCTACTTTTTCTCAGAGTCTGAAAATAGGACTTGCCTACATCTTATTATAATTATAACAATTGAGTACAATAACCTCTCACATGATATTGAAATTTAGAGTTTTCCATATTTTCTCAGAGTCTGAAAATAGGACTTGCCTACATCTTATTATAATTATAACAATTGAGTACAATAACCTCTCGCATGATATTGAAATTTAGAGTTTTCCATATTTTCTCAGAGTCTGAAAATAGGACTTGCCTACATCTTATTATAATTATAACAATTGAGTACAATAACCTCTCACATGATATTGAAATTTAGAGTTTTCTATATTTTCTTTTACGTTTTAAAATTTTTTACTATCAACAAATTTCGTCAATCAATTTAGGTATACAAAATCAGTGGAAATAGCAAACGACTCCGACTTTTTTTTACTAAAATTCGATTTAGTGAAAAAAATCCATATAAATATATAATCAATACATTTTGTTTTTTTTTGGCAAAATCGTTGTAGGTATGCGATTTCCCTTTAATATATTTTGTGTTTATTACCCACTTTTAAAAATTGAGTTAACAATGGAATATTGTGCATAATCTGTTTGTTTATCAAAACAAGGCAAAAATTACTTTACACGTTATTTTAGTATTAAAAATGCAATTTAAACTCTGGAAATAAATAATAACTAGAGTAGTATCGACTTATTGTTGATCTTTTGTTTGAACATTTTTATTGATGTTATTATTCAGTTAGGCTAACTGGTAACATTATAATAATATGGCTACCGTCTTCGCTCGAACACAATATTAGTTTTATTTTTACTTTAACTTTATCCATCCCTACTTTATTTTATTTTTTTAAACGCCTCCTGGCTTAACTTGATTTTCTCATTTTATTTGATGTGTTCAATTTTTGACCTAAGATAAAGGATTTGTATTAAGCGCAACTCTGTTCAGAGACTATATTATTTAGGCAGAGGTTGGAACTAGTAACTTAATTGAAAATCGGTCCCTATTAGTCACATTTTTTGTTCCGACATTGAATACAATTTTATTTTTTTAATATATTAGCATATTTTTCGATAATTAATAATGGAAAAATATACATTAACCGTTTATAATATAGACTTATTTAGGGAAGCTTGGAGGATATAGGTCCCGGAAAAAAATAACCCCCCCTCCTAAATAGTTAGCTTTAATTGAAAAAACAGCATTCATTTAGCAGTGGAGGACACTAAAAAAAAGTCATGTATTATTTTAGAAATCCAATGAAAACACTTATAATAACTGTTGTTTAGAGTTCCTGGTTTATTCGACACACGTTATGTAATTTTTATTATAATATAAATTACAAGCATATACTGACATTGGTATGTTATAGAATATATACATTTAGAAGTAAGTAAGGACATTTAGTAGGTAGCTCTGCAATAAATAAGTATTGCAATTTATTTATGTCATTTATTACGACGTTCAAAATGTGTTTTAATAATAACAAAAAAGTTCATGATTAATATTATGGTTTTAAAAGAAATCTAGAAATGACATAGGCCACTTGGTCACCTGGACGTTTTTTTAAGAGCTTTAGGCACTTTCAGTCCTGTTTGGGTGTTTAAACATTATTACCGTTATGTAAATTTGGTCCCAGTCATAATGTTTACCTCATGTGTGATTTCAGGAAGACATGGTGTGCTTGTCTTGCACCGCAACCGGCGAAAGGGTTTGTCTGGCGGCCGAAGGATTCGGAAACCGACATTGTTTTTTGGAAAATATCGCCGACAAGGTAAACCAAAAAGATCTGGTGGTATTTTCTTTCACATGAATATGTCTTACCTCTGGGGGTCGTTCCAAATTTGCATCACGTCGTGGAATATGTGACGACGTGGGTAGTGGAGAAGAAGAGGAGGGGGGGTGTAGATGGGAGAGGAGCGGAAGAGAGGAGATCACTGATAGGAAAATCAGGTGCTATTAGATTCTGGACAAAAGCAGTCAATTCTCTGACATATTCATGATTCAATGTATTTTCTTCAAGGGGAAAATTCAAAGATCGCTTTTTTTATAACGCTATTAATATTGTTTGCAAATATTCCTAGAACATTCCGCCGGACTTATCTCAGTGTGTGTTCGTCATCGAACAAGCGCTGTCCGTCCGAGCGTTACAAGAACTAGTGACCGCAGCGAGTTCCCAAGAGGTAAACGGAACTCACATTTTAACTGGGTTTTCTTAAGTCAAAACGATAATAATTCTTCGTTTTATCTTACAGGGCAAAGGTGGCACCGGGTCGGGCCACAGAACGTTGTTGTACGGTAACGCTATTCTGTTACGCCATCAAAACAGCGACATGGTGAGACCTCTTTTGGGGCTGCTTAACGGTTTTTTTTAAAAATATACAATATACCTAATTTAATTGAACCGGTTTTGTTTTTGTCCAATAGTACTTGGCTTGTCTCTCGACTAGTTCGTCCAACGACAAATTGTCTTTCGACGTCGGTCTTCAGGAGCACTCGCAAGGCGAGGCTTGTTGGTGGACGGTCCATCCGGCGTCCAAGCAGAGGTCAGAAGGAGAGAAAGTGCGGGTTGGCGACGACCTGATTTTGGTATCGGTCGCCACCGAACGGTATCTGGTAAGTAGATATTATCATCCTATACAGCTGGGGATAGGTGTAGTCTTGATTGTAAGCAGAGGGTGGCTATAGTAGTTTTATTGTGAAGCAAACAAAAAATGGATCAAGATATCAATGAAAACAGTATCTTAAAAAAAAAACCCGAAGAAGAACAAGGAAAAATTTGTTTGATGAACAATGTAAAATAGCAAGTACTAAAGAGATGCCTTAACAAGAATGTTAAATAAGACCCAAATGAAGATAGTAAAAGATCACTCGCAAAACCGAGTATTTTTAGAAGGAAAAAAAGGGCACGCGAGAACTCGAAGTAATAGAGAATAGCTACAAGAACAACGTAAAAATATTTTTTGAGAAGTCTAATAAGATTAAGGTTGGGTTTAAGACAAAATCGACTATTATAAAGGACGGGAGGGGTCACGTCTGTAGAGCGGAGGGCCAAACATGACACGAGACCACAATATGGTAACCAGACACCAAGTTAAAAAACATGTTAGGCACCTAAATCTGTTTTGTAAATAGTTGTGTGTTGTCCGACGAATGTTATTAATTAAAAAAAAAATATTACCAACTTTCAAATGACATTTTGGAATAAAACCGTTAGCTCAACTTGAGTTGCTTTTGTCGAAAACAATCAAGTAACCGACCGGCTTTGCCTCCAACAACTCGGGACACGTTTAACAAACAACAACGATGGCTTTATTAAATGTTTATCGAACGGTATTTTTTATTCACCGGTTGAATGAATCTGGTTGGTGGACGCTGCCAAACCGGTAACCGAGTTTTTGGCCTTGTCCCACCGGTCCAGCCACATGTCGATGGCCGACTGGTTTTGCGCGAAGAACGGCTCGATAAACGAAAAGTACACCACCTCGGATCCGCCGCCGGCTCGCAGCCACACGATGGCGCCGATCTTGAGCAAACCGAACAGCGGCAACGGGCTGAGCACCCAATCGACGGCCCGGAACATCGCGTACACGGACCAATGGATGAACAGCGCTTGCCTGTCTTCCGGCGCGGATGCCGAGCCCAGCTTGATGGTTTTGTACGTCCGGTACAGCGGCTCGAACATCATCAGCACCAATTCCACCGCGAAAGCTATGAGCCCCAGTACCATTTTTCCAAAAAAGGACGTGTATACTACTAGATCAGTTGCAAGTATAGACCCGTATATATAGGTATATGTGTGTTCCGTGTGTAGACTATTTGATATTTTGGTAAATAAATACACAACCGTGTACTGTGTTTGCCACGACGTTTCCCATGGAAATTACACTACAAACGGCCTAATATCAACCGTATATTATAATTTATTACATTAGATAGTAGGTACACTGGGTTCACAAAAAAAAAGAAAAAAAAAAAGAGTAAAATAACGTGTATTTTATCATAAAAATATATGTTGTTAATATTGTTTAATTTGTTACTTAAAGTGTAACAAAGTTTAAAATTGGCAAATTTTTTTGACCGTTGGGTTTTTTCTGGGTTTTATTGGTACTGCTGTTACTCTTGTTGGTGTTCAATAGGTACTGTAAAATTCTTGTCTGACGGACAAAGCCGGGAATTTACACCCAAACGTTTGACCCGAAGGGCCTAAAAAGTCTATTGTATTTTTCAATTTCCTATATTTTTACCAACCATCTTGAACGTATCGGATAGTAATTATTTTGTCGTTTGCTCAGCACACAGCCAAAGAAAACGAACTTTCCGTAGTCAACGCTTCGTTTCACGTGACCCACTGGTCAGTGCAACCTTACGGCACTGGCATCAGCCGGATGAAGTATGTGGGCTATGTGTTCGGCGGAGACGTGCTTAGGTTCTTCCACGGAGGCGACGAATGTCTGACCATACCGTCCACGTGGAGTGGCGACGTTTCCGGACAAAAGTATGTGATGTATAATATGCGCAGGGTGATCATTTTATCGCGAACCACTCAATATCAAAATTTAATTTCTCACTAATCCCTATGAGATATTGAGTGGTTCGCGATAAAGTGATCACCCTACATCGCCAGCTAGTGAAATTTGCTGATTAACGGACCGAACGTTTACTGTTTTATTCCACAGCATAGTCATATACGAGGGAGGCAGCGTGATGAGCCAGGCAAGATCTCTGTGGCGGTTGGAGCTGGCCAGAACCAAGTGGGCCGGCGGCTTCATCAACTGGTGTCATCCGATGCGAATCAGACATCTGACCACCGGTAGATACTTAGGCGTCAACGAAAACAATGAACTGTACTTGGTCAGCAGGTGAGAATAAGGGTTGAAGTAAGGGCTGTGGTCGATACTGGTATCAAATTAAACTGCAACTGTTGTGTTTTGCGCTCGGTGACCGAATAATATTTTTTATTAAAATAAAATATCATCCTGGATTCGGTCGAAAACAAAGAGATTATTCGAATAAATCAGTTATGGAAATGGGGGTTTTTTTTTTTTAATTTTTCATCTCTTTACAGAGACGAAGCGACTACCGCTTCGTCGGCGTTTTTCTTGAGGCAAGAAAAAGACGATCAGAAAATCATATTGGAAGACAAAGACTTGGAAGTCATAGGCGCGCCCATCATCAAGTACGGCGACAGCACGGTATTGGTGCAACATTCCGACACGGGTTTGTGGTTGACTTATAAGGTAAGTATAATAATTCCGTTCGGTTAACTTCGGTTGACTTGACGACTTTCGATCTTGATTCTTGATGTCCGTTTTAGTCGTACGAGACCAAGAAAAAAGGCGTGGGGAAAGTGGAAGAGAAGCAAGCCGTGCTGCACGAAGAAGGCAAGATGGACGACGGGTTGGACTTTAGCCGAAGTCAAGAGGAAGAGTCGAAAACCGCGAGGGTAATCCGAAAATGCTCGTCGCTGTTCACTCAGTTCATATCGTGAGTTGATTGACCTAATGGATATGTAACTAGTTAATACTTGTTAGTTCAAATCTGCTTACTTTTATTTACAAATGTTTAGTCTGCCTTAACTCTAGATCACAAGGTTAAATCAAAATGGCAGTCACTTTGTTACCATTTTTAAAATTTGTGTTTTATCAACAAAAGATTCAAGGCCAAATTTTAAAGGGTGTTTGAAATCGGTCATGAAGAAAAATTGTTTTGCTACTAACATTAGAGTATTTAACAATAAATTTGAATAAAATAAAAAATAATAAACGGAGAATGTTTAAAATTGTAATTGATTAAGGAACAATTTTGTTTTTAATATAATATAATATAGTCTTGAAAAATTTCTGTAGTTATATAATAATAATAAAAGCTATTATATTTTTATGAAAATGTAGATATTATAGTACTTACGTTTTCTTAAAAACGTCTTACAAGAAAATGAAAATTATTCAAAATAATAATTTTTAAAATTTATTTGAGTAACATTACATATAAACATACTTAATTTAAAAAATATTTGACAATCTACTAAAATAGATTATTTTACTATATGTACTATTTTATTAAAGTACTCTTTAATTTTAATTTAGATTTAAAATTTAGATTGAAGTACTCTTTAATTTTTTTTTCTATTCCTTAATTCATCCAATTTCTTTAACTCACTTTTTTCTCATTTAATCGTGTAATTATTGCATTTTCCTCTCTAAATTAAAAATTTCTATGGGCTTTATTCCCAAATTTTCTCTTGTATACTCTCATCTGATGATAATTAATATTATCATAATATTATTCTAACTCAATTACAAAATTAAAATTTATATGCTTTTGTAAGGTGCTGTTTTATAATATTAGACAGGCATAATTTAACGAAACTGTGGTCTGGATTTTATGATCCGTAGTACATATGGACGCGTTGCTTGTGTTTTACATTGTGCTTACATTAATCAATTAATGTTTTATAGGGGGCTGGAGAATCTCCAAAGCAACGGACGGTCATCTTTGTTCTGTTCGTTTGTGAATCTCAACGAAATGGTCATGTGCTTGGAAGATTTGATCAACTATTTCGCCCAGCCGGAAGAAGATATGGGTGAGTAAAGTTAGATCTTGGAATAGTCTGGTTTAAACGTATACATTGTAACGATTAACACGCGGTTTAACAGAACACGAGGAAAAACAGAACCGGTTCAGAGCGCTCAGAAACAGGCAAGACCTATTTCAAGAGGAAGGCATATTGAATTTAATTTTGGAGGCCATTGACAAAGTAAACGTGATCACTTCGCAAGGATTTATGGTCAATCTAGCCGGCGACGAGTCGGGACAAAATTGGGAAGTCATTTCCGGTTATTTGTACCAACTTTTGGGTAAGTGACGTCTTCTTTTTATTCCACACAAGCGATGAGGACCATAATATTTTCTCTAGTCTCTAATATGTCTTTTCTAAACTTGTCTGTACCATCTCAATCTACTATCTACCATTTCTTCTGGCCATTCGCGCCTGGGCATAAATAATAAAAACTGCACCGCTATTACCGCTATATATTGTGCCACTGATTCGAGCATTGCTCAGACTATCACATATTTACTCAATCAAAGTATCGACATCCATCTTACCGTTTTCTTTCGGGGTCCTTTAATGTATACTTCCGTCTCGGTTTTTTGACGAGAAATGTATTAGTCTTAAAATAGTAAAAACCTTCGAGTTTGTTTTTAATTATAAAAAAAAACTCGTTTTTTTCGCTTGTTTGATTGCACAGCCGCTATTATTAAGGGCAATCATACCAACTGCGCTCAGTTCGCCAACACCAACCGATTGAATTGGTTATTTAGCCGATTGGGTTCACAGGCGTCCAGCGAGGGAACCGGCATGTTAGACGTTTTGCATTGCGTACTCATCGACTCGCCGGAAGCTTTGAACATGATGAAGGTAAGCCACCCAAGTCGCTTGTACACAATCGGTGACTGTAACCAACCGAAAACGTTTGCAGGACGAACACATCAAAGTGATCATATCTCTTTTGGAAAAACACGGACGAGACCCAAAGGTGTTGGATGTTCTGTGCTCATTATGCGTCGGTAACGGCGTGGCTGTTAGGAGTTCGCAAAACAACATATGCGACTTCCTTTTACCGGGCAAAAACTTACTCCTGCAAACTCAACTCGTCGACCACGTGGCCAGGTAACGCTAAACTTCTCCTTCACCTTCATCCTAACGATTTGGGATTGGTCATCGTTCTCCTAAACTTTCGCTTGACATGATCTCCCACATCCTCCTACACATTTTTTCAACATTTAATTCCAACTAAACAATATTTCTGAGACATAGTGCCAAAACGTAATACTTTAAAAACATGATGAACACATTTTTGGGGGGAATTATACTAAATGTCACTGTTTGCCAAACCTATTTCAAACATATTACCGTTGCAGTGTTCGACCTAATATATTCGTTGGATTCGTCAGCGGTTCGGCAGTGTACCGTAAGTGGTACTACGAAGTGGCCATCGACCACGTGGAGCAAACGACACACCTGAGCCCTCACATTCGCATTGGTTGGGCCAACACTGCCGGGTAAGCTCGTATACATTAAAAACTTCTATACTTAAATAATTGTATTACCATGGTTGATATGGATACATGTGACGCCATGGGTAGGGGAGAAGAAGAGAGGAGAATATTGATAAGATAATCAGCTGATAAGTGGGTGATGGAGAAGAGAGGGAAAGAAAAATTAAGAGATATTCCAAATCATTTTTTGCAAGGGGAAAACTGACGATTGTTTTTTATATTTGTGTCCTTAGCTATGTACCGTATCCCGGCGGTGGTGAAAAATGGGGCGGAAACGGAGTTGGAGACGACCTGTATTCGTTTGGGTTTGACGGGGCGCACTTATGGACTGGTGAGATAATAATAATTTCACGTTTATTTGTCGATCACTTCTTCATCTTATACTCGGATTTCGTGCACAGGTGGTTGCAAATCCGAAGCGATGCCAGGAGCGCAGATTCCTTATATAAAAAAATCCGACGTCATCGGTTGCGCTTTGGACTTGACCATTCCCATCATCACGTTCACTCTGAACGGCCATTTGGTCCAAGGGGCTTTCAGGGATTTCAATTTGGACGGCATGTTTTTCCCCGTCATAAGTTGTTCGTCGAAAATCAGGTAAAATGACAACTATAACCAACCGTTTCAATCCATTTAAACAAAATTGGTTTTAATTCAGACCAAGACGTAAAAAATGGGAAAATTTACCCATTTTTCTAAATTATTATAATTTATAAGCCGCAAAAATTGCTCGTTAAATATTTATTACAAATTTAAAATAATCCTAACCTATGACCGATGACCAAATTGAAAACTTTGTTTCCTGCATTCAGCTGTCGGTTTTTGTTGGGTGGCGACCACGGTCGGTTGAAGTTTACTCCGCCCGACGACTTCTCTCCGCTGTTCGAAAGCCTCTTGCCGCAGCAGATCCTTACCATAGACCCTTGCTTCTACTTTGGCAACTTGAACAAGCGCGTGCTCACGGGACCTTGGTACGTCGAGGACGACACGGCGTTCGTCCCCAACCCGGTGGACACGTCCATGGTAAGTTTAAGTTAAGATTAATCTCACACAAGCCCGGTGAATGTACCTAAATCAATGTTAACACACCTACCGTTTTAGATAGCGCTGCCCGGTTACATAGAGAACATCAAGGACAAACTGGCGGAGAACATACACGAGATGTGGGCTATGAACAAAATAGAAACCGGTTGGCAGTTCGGCGAGATAAGAAACGACACGATGAAGTTCCATCCGTGCTTGACTCAGTTCAACAAACTTCCGCCGGCCGAGAAACGTTACGACACCCAGTTGGCCGTGCAAACGCTCAAGTAAATCAGCCGACCAACTCACTTCTGGCTTCTGGGCAGAGTTGGCAAAAAAAAAAAAAAAATCACAAACCCGAAAAACCCCAGTAGATTTTTTAAATTCGAGCCCAGCAAATGTTATTGGTATTTATGCAAAATTATAGGGGTTTATTCAACAAAGACTTAACTGGCCCAAGAATTTTATCTAAGAAAGGGTTGTTGCCAACTCTGCTATTGGCGACGTTGAGTGGAGGACTACAAACATTTTTAGTAAAAGTATTTAGCAAAATTAAACTGTGCAAAAAAAAAATGTTGTTATTGTTTAAAATGCATTATTAACGTTGGGAATATTTAAATTTATTTATTTTTATGACAATCTTTCGCAGGACCATCATCGCCTTGGGATATCACATCACTATGGACAATCCGCCATCTCGCATCAAAACTCTTCGGTTGCCCAACGAGCCGTTCATGCAGCCCAACGGGTACAAACCGGCACCTCTAGATCTGTCTGCCATCTTGTTGACCGGTAAAATGGAAGAGCTCATCGACCAACTAGCCGAGAACACACACAACCTGTGGGCCAAAGAGAGAATACAGCAAGGATGGACGTACGGTTTGAACGAGGTAATAATATTAACCTGTTGACTCGCATTACATGATATATTTCGCAAGATTTTCAACCTTTGTCTTGTATGTGGTTTTTCAGGAATTACAAATGTTGCGCAGCCCACATTTGGTACCGTACATTAAAGTCGACGACGCCATAAAGAAAGCCAACAGGTAAGATATATGTTGTCGGTAATGTAACTTAAACTCCATTTTCGATAACTATAACAGCTGTGCAATTCAACAATAATTTGTATGATTTATTCACTGTCTAAGGGATACGGCCAGTGAAACGGTACGCACTCTATTAGTGTACGGCTACAATTTAGATCCACCTACTGGCGAGACTAACGAAGGTAAACTTACTAGGGACTTGTCACTAAAAAAAAAAACAAATATAAATTGAATTTTTTTATCAGAATAATTGTGAACAATTTCAGGATATTAAAAAAAAAATTGTTTTTTTGAAAATCCAAATTTCAACCTACGTGGATTATAATTATAGATTTTGATTAAACTACTACTGGATTACTATGTTTGGGAATTCAACTAAAGCAAATTTTAATGTCTGTTAAATCTAAAAAAACAAATTTCTATACGAGACCGTACTTGTAGGTTAATTATTTCCGTTTATAACTAAAAATTATTATTGTTTAGTTAATAAATGAAGTACAAATTATCCAAGTTATCAGTGTATGCCACAGTGTAAGATGAGCTAACACGTGTAATTTATATTACCTAATTTTATCTTTACAATTTATTATTAAAATGTGTCTTTTCGTTAGATTAGGTCAAATTAGTCGCGCATGCACATATACATTTCTGCTTACTAGTTTAGATTTTTATTAAATATTTTAAAAGGGATTTATGTTGGTGCAAATATAGGAAGGATGTTGAAACCTCATGGTGGAAAGATTTCAGGTTTACAAAAAACTTGTTTAAACCCCCCTATTCCCCCCTCACAAAAAAAATCGGCAACTAAATTTTACATCATTACAACTTTAATGATGATTTATTATTATTGTATTTATACATTTTTGGTATAATAATAATAACAATGTCAGCTTAGAGTTTTTGTTTAAAATCTCACTTAACGCATTAGATTAAAAAAAAATTCCCATTAGGACTTTTTATCTATTTATAGACATATTATTTATTTGTATGAACACACTTAATCATAACCATGGATATGAATACTTTCAGCAACACTAATGACAGAAGAATTGGTTAAGAGATATTTAACATTTAGGACTTATCGCGCTGAGAAAACATACGCCGTTTCCAGTGGTAAATGGTAAGTTGATTATGGATTCATAATTATATTATAAACTTTCAGAAGTAAGGACTTATCTCCTTTACCATAATATCTCTTGTAGTATGTATGGGTAGTATGTTATAGCAATACTTAAAAAAACTTTTATTCTAGTTTGAGGGAAGAAATTATAATAAAACACTATTTGAAATAAATTTCATAAAATGAATTTAAGTTAAATGTTATTTAAGTACAAATTAGCTTAATTTGAGCTTATAGTTCAAAGTGTGTTTCTCATATACCATCAATGTTGTATATGTTTTTGTAACGAATAAATGATAAGCATTTTTGTTAATCCCCCAAAAGAAAATGAATCATCTAAAGCCAGATTCGAATCCACCGAATAATTAATTGTATTTTCGTTTTTGTTCCAAACAAAAGCTCAATTTTGTTTGTATAGTGTTATTACATCTAGAATATTTCAGGAAATTTTATTTAACTATAATATACTTGAGTATATTTATAGGATCTACTACCATAAACAATTGTATCGTACCTGATTTTTGCTATAAAGCGTTTATTTAATTTTATATAATATACAAAATTGTTGGTGAGAAAAATTTATCTCTTGCAATTTTAAGATAAAAATGCCACCAGTCAAATTACTGGGAGATGTGTACTCATTCGGACCAATAGTCGTCGGAAAGATAGTGTTAGGGGAGATATTGTCGGTGTACTGGGCTTGTGTTTAAAAGTGTAAAGCAGTATAGCGGTTACCGATAATGTTTAGGTATTTCGAATTTGAAATCCTCACCAACGGGCCCATGCGAGTAGGCTGGGCTAAGTACGATTGCATTCCGGGCTATCAGATCGGTAGCGACGAGAACTCGTATGCGTTTGACGGATACAACGTGAGTACCGTAAACATACGATTATTATTATTATTGATACACGAATCAGGTATTTTGGAGAAAAAAATAAATACACTTATCCCATTAAAAAGGAAGAGAAAATCTACATGGGCACGGCGGAGTCGTTCGGCCGGCAATGGCAGGTCGGCGACGTCGTGGGAGTGTTTTTGGACTTGATGGATCACACTATAAGTTTCTCGCTCAACGGCGAACTGCTTATGGACACTTTGGGCGGCGAGACGACTTTCTCCGAAGTCCAAGGCGAAGGTTTCGTGCCGGCATTTACGTTGGGGTTGGGTCAAAAGGCCAAGCTGACGTTCGGCCAAGATGTGAACTCGTTGAAATTTTTCACCACTTGCGGACTCCAAGAAGGATACGAACCGTTTTGCGTGTAAGTACTGTACTCCACGCCACGAGAGAACGCACCTGCGCCAGTGTTGCCAACTCTAGGGATATTCCTTTATAGTTAGGGAATTCAAATTTTCTATAGGGATATAGGGATTTAAGTCATTTTCTAGGGATTTTATCCTAAAATATAATATGTAATTAATGTTAGCTTCGTTGTAAAATCGAACTCTTGTTTATCATAGTTAAATGTTATCAATAGGATCCCAGCAAACGGCATAATATAGTCACATTATTATCATTGACTATTCAGATTTTGAGGTAATGATTGAATAATAGCTATTGAGTAGCACAAAACCTACCAAAAAGTAAACATATCTAGGGATTTTTTAATAACTTTCTGGGGAATTTAACTTCGTGCTGGTTGGCAAGACTGGCCGAATTAGTGTTTGCGTGGGATTTACCGTTGCGATTTGTCCACAGCAATATGAAGCGCCCTGTGACTTACTGGTATACAAAGGATCAACCTATATTCGAGAACACCGACGACTTCCCGTCGGTCATCGACGTCACCAGAATACCAGCGGGATCCGACACGCCTCCGTGCTTGAAGATCAGCCACAACACGTTCGAAACGATGGAAAAGGCCAACTGGGAATTCTTGAGACTCTCCCTGCCCATCATATGCCTTCCTGCTTTCATAGAGTAAGTAGGACGCAGAGTTGAGAGGGATTTAGCATTTTACTTCAATGCATAATGCATCCTCCAATTATCACTATCCCTAGCTGACTTGGGTCTAAATATCCACTCGTCGAATGCACTATAAATGAACGAATGTTCACTTGTTTGTTTGAATAATGATGATTTGAAAGTTTTTTTAATGGACGGGTTTTGACTTCTCCACCGTAGTCTTCCTCATAGTTTTCAGTATGCTATATCTTTTCCCTATTCATTGTTTCCAGCTCCATGTTTGTTCTCCGTCTACACTCTTCGGTCTGTCATCTTTGATCGACCATAACATTTTTTTTTACTCAAAATTACTTCCAAATCAAGAGTTTAAAAAACTTCCACAGACAGTACTATATGACACTAAAAAATTATAAAAAATTACTCTTTACTCTTTCACCATCAATATTACTCTCAAAATTAACAAATATTTCACATTTTCAACTTTAACGTCCTCTAACTATGCAAAAACCAATCAAAATAGTTTTATTACTATTATTCAATTTTTTACTATCTATTTGGTAATTTTGTGTTTCTCATCAAAAAATGGAAATTCTTTCTTTGTAATTTTTGGCACCGCACAATATTCGGTATTTCGAGGAGACAATAGGGACAAGATAGCATAAAATCCAGAATTGACCCTAAATTTGGATTTCATTGTTTTTCATCGTTAACAAATTCACATAAAAACGGATTTGTAATGATTCTATCACTTTGCGGGTTAGGTTTATTTGCTCCTTATTTTTGAGAGGCGAAGTTAAATGTAGAGAAAATCGATTAAAATGAGAGAGCTATGAAAACGAATGTGGTTATAAAATGAGATGCAAGTATATGAATAGGTAGAGTTAATGATGACCGATGAATGTGCTCAGACTCACATTCTATAAGCGCAGAATGTGAGTGATTGTTTGAGTACAGGTCGAGGACTAGGATAGCAATTATTTGGGTGTAGTGATGAGGAAGAAGTAGCCCTAATACATTCAATAAACCAGTGGATTCCTCGCCAGCGACCAGACTTTTCTATCTGGATTTTTTTTTTAAATATCGATTAACTTGTGAATTTTACAGCGACCAAGAGAAACAGAGGCGTTGGCAAGAAATAAGGATCAGACAACACAGGTTATTGTCGCAGACGGAGCACGCCACGCCGGCGCACATTGAACAGATAATGAAGTCTGGATTTTCGATGAGCGACATTAAAGGTATTTGTTTTGTACCATCAATTATTGGAATAAACTTTTTTTAATACAATATATCTATTGTAGGCCTTCACCGTTACTCGGAGGATCCGGTCGAAAACGAGGATCTGATCACAAACTCAACGCCGCTTCCTCCCAGGGGCAAAAATCAACCGCCTCCGCCCAGACCTCCCAGGAAAGGATCTTTGTCCAGACACGATGAGTTGATAGTCGAAAACGGTAAGTACACTACACAGTCATGGATGAAAATCATCATTGTCAACATAGTCTAGACCTGCAGTTGAATGTCTATAATTTGGTAGTCCTTGGCATTACCCAATGGTTTGGATTGAATGAGATACTCTTCAATATAAAAAAAGCCCTATACAAAATTGGAAAATTTCTAAAACTAAGCTAAAATGCAATTAATACAATCACTTTAGACCAATCGAAGGTTGGAGAGGTTAGGTTAAGCTTACCCGAGCATTTCCCTTTGTTACTTATTGGTAAAAAATAACAAAGTTACTTTAAAAAGTTAGCTACCTACAAATTTGGACGATTTTTATTTAAATAGTAATTAACAAGTAGCAAGTTATAAATTACTTATTTTAAATACATTTTATTGGTTATATCAAACGAAATATGTTTGAAATACATTTCTATGTAAATTAAAATATTTTATGTAAACACATTTTGATACGTTAATATAATATTGTTTTAATGTTCAAATAGTTTTTTAGATGAATAATTATTTTATAATAACTACATAGTTTATTTGTTTGTACTAATTAAAGTAGATAGAAAAATATTTATTTTATTTTATTTTTTAAACTTTAAATTAAATGTGTTATATTTAAATGTACTCAAACAAATAAATATTTTATTTATTAATTAAGTTTTAATGATTTTTTATTTTTAAAATAACTATTTGAATTTTTATTTAAATAATACTCAAATTTGATTGAAATAATTATGATAAGGGGAAGCAAAAAAAAAAAAAGTTCCAAAAAGTAGTGTTGCAAACAGTATCTTTGTTTTTCTCTTTTAAAAATATATTTTTTTAGACTGATCATGAACAGCGTTTTGATAAATCCCAAAAGTCAAGAAACGAGATCTAACATGTTTTAATTATGTTATTGATTGTAAACAAAATTAGGGATTTTTTTAATAATAAGTACCTTAAAAACATCTCTTAAGTAATCATAAATTAAAGGAAGATATTTTTTTTAGAAAACTCTAAGCAAATTAGGATTTTAAAAATACATTTTTTCCTATCATTGTATTTATTTAATGCCCTTGATTTTTACACAATAACTTTGATAATGTTGCGATGCTCATATTTTACATAAATAATGATTATTGAATTTGGCTTTATATTCTTTAGCATGTACTTTAATAGGTCGTTACTCCACTGATTTATCTAGGAGTTTCGAAAAATCTTAAGTTAAACCTAGGACTACCTATCGTGTAATTTTATTAATACAGTTATTTGGATTCTTTATAGCTTATTAGATTTCTATTAGAAAATCACATCGGTCATTAACAAGAGACGATGATACTTTAAAGGGAATGCCATATCCATTTTTCAGTATATTCAATATTTTGCTTATAACATAATGTATTTTATATTGAAAAAATGCATTTTTATTTTTTCTAGAAAACATATTTTAAAACGGATATGGCAATCTTTTTCCAAACCGGTCGTCGTCTTAACAATATGAATAATAATGTTCTGTTAATGTATTAATTAATTTAAATTGCGCGCGTTTCCAGGTGGAAAAATGAACCGTTCGTCTAGTGAACTTGACTTCAACAACATGTACAAGCACCAAAGTCGAAACAGTCAGGACGTGAGCAAGGAAGACAAGAAGAAAAGAGGAAAGTCGCCTTTTCGGTAAATTGGCCATTGACGACTAAATAAATCACACTGCGGTGTTGTCTTATTCCGTTTGTGTTTGTTTATAGATTTTTTTCGCGAAAGAAAGACGGCCCATCGGATGCTCCGAAGAGGGCAAAGACACCGGATCCAGCTAGAACCACGGAGAGGGGTCGTCACCTGCACAGGCCTAGTACGGCCAACGAAAGGGTCACTCCCCAGATAAGAGTATCGCAGGTAAGGTTAGGTTCAGGGCATGCGATAAATTTCAATAGTTCAAAATGTGAACAGTTGAATGCAATGTTCTTTAGAACAGTATTGGCTATAATAAGCTATTACCATTTAGGTATGTTGAAAAACGAACTTACGCACTAGGACATCAATAATATATTTGGGCCATGTGGGCGCATTTTGCGTTCAGTTTAGAAAATCAAAGAATTTTATATGACTGCCTAACAGACTTTCGTCATTGAATAAATCTACATACATACAAATGCACCTTGAAGCAAGTGTGTTAGGTGAAAAATATTAATTTCCCACTCTGTTCACTGATCTGCCTTATACAACTTTTGGACTCTTAAATGAGTTCATTAATAAAAAATTGTATTTTTCAAAGATCGATTTAGAAGGCGGTTCTTACTAAAAACTATTTTTAATTTGATTACAAATATTCTAAAATATATACTCTGAAAATTGAAAAATATATAAATGCCTTTATAAAGAATATAAACAAAATTAATTTATTATGTAGTTACTATAATAGTTTTTGGTAATTAAACGAAGAATATGCTAAGGTTTTTATAAAATTATTATTTAATTTAATTACGACAACTGGGGGTATTAGCGATTTCAGCTTCTACTTCTGTTACAGCTACATAGTCTCCACAGTAACTATGAAAAGAGCTAGAAGTTTCACCTTTGACAGGAGTAGCCCGTACAGGGGTATTGGCAGTCAAGAAACACGATATGAACCAAATGGCGAAATGATACATTTTTATTGGCGTCTAACTCAGGAACAAAATTAATTGAATTAAAATCACGCTCTGCGATTTCTAGTTTTATTAGAATGAAAACAAACAAATGTTCTGAATAAACATATTTTTACAAAATAGGTTTATTTAAAAAAAGCAAACGTATTTTTTATTTGAGAATTTGACGGTAAATCGTGTAAGCTTTGCATATTTTGTTGGTTTAACCCGATTTGAAGCCATGAGAGATATTTTGTTTTCGTCTTAGACACATGTGTTGTTATTAATATTCCGTTTTTCTACACACTGTTTTTTTTGTCGCCTAAAAAACATTTCACTCAAAGTTTGGTCGAGTGTAATATTCGAAATACCATACACACTGACCTCGCTAAAATTGTCCCTTCGTGGCAAACATCACAATAATATCATCTTTGTTGCACTCTCCAAAATATTCTTCGATTATTTTTACCACCCATAAGATTCTTTATCAATCATTCCGGAAGACATGGCATCACGAATGTGAATGTGACTATATCCCATATTTCCTCTCTCCCCTCCTCATTTTCTCTAGAGATTAGTGAAAAGACGTTATAGGTTATACGTTACGGGCTTAGAAACTAAGGGTTCTATATCTTAGATTTTATCTATAAATATACACTGCCACATTGAAGCTCATTTGATATTTTGTATCGATATGGATAGGTATACCACATTAATAGGTAAACAAATTAAGAGATTGGCTTTGTTTATTTATGAATAAAATTATTTAAATGTACACGGTCAAATTCAAACAAATTCTTTCAGTATATTTAAGTTATATCATAAAAACTAAATTCGTTGAAAACCGGTACAAAAAAAAAATTGTTATGACTGCTTACCACCTCCAAATTGTTTAGTAAATCAAAAATTCCCGTGCATTTGTGGGGTAAATATTTTTGGCCTGTGCTTCAAAGGGTTAATGTATACGGACATGCGGCCTCGATTACAGAATAGATACTCAAAATTTAAACTTAAAATTTAATATGAGTTAAAAGCATAGTGTAAAAAAGAAGGATCCGCAATGGCTAATGAAATCGTCCGTTTAATTGGCTCTTCAAGCCAAGTACAATTATTTGGTTTCAGGACTATAATTATTTTTATCAGCAGAAATACAAAAAAAAAATGTGTGGTTTTTATCGATTGTTTATTTTTGTATTAATTTATTAACTAATTTATTTATTAGCAGTACCTATCTAATTTAGCTTAACACACGTGTCTTTTAAATATATTAAAAAGTAAAAAGAAACAGACTAGAAAAGGGGTGGTCACTTTTTATTTAATTCGTTTTTTTTCGGTAAAGTCTTAAAGAGCAAAGTCTAAAACCTAACTAAATGTAGATCTAGAATGGGGCTATAACATAGTTTTCAATTATCTAAAAAAATCTGTAGTCAAAGTTTTTTTTCTATTATGGAAAACCTCAAAAAAAAAATAGGGAGAAATTACAGTTACCTGTTAGTCATATACCAATATACTAAAAACAATAATATATTCTAAACGAAAAGAACATCTTTAACATCGACCTATTTATATTATTTAAGTGTCTAAAATTAACGATAGTTAAGCTTGTCCTTCAGCCTATTTCTCAAAATTATCCGTACATATTTATTTCAACTTTATATCATCGACCAGTCTTTTTTTTTTTCTTTTTTTACTGGATATTCATTATGTACCTAATAAATATTGAAAACAACTTAACACGATACTGTGTTAAATTATAAAGAATAATTTCTTTATTATACATATAAAACCATAAAGTTTTTCTGGTTTTTAATTTATACATTGAATTTCCTATAGTAATATTTTTTTTATTGCGTTCTAATTACACCTTAAATTCGTATCGATGTGAAATACACTTTTACAAATACTTAACAATACGTACCCAGATTTTTCATACTATGAAATGCGTCAGTATATAAAAGACCATGAAGTACTGTGTGTAAATTACATAACAAACTATTTTATCATTGTTTTTAGCGTTTTATTTTTCTCGGTTTCGTATCGAAATGAACAACAAAATATGAGTAATAGATCCACGCAAAAACAGTTCTCTAAATCAACACACAAACGCATAAACAATATTATAAATTTGGAATTTAGCACACAGTAACGCTCTGAAAAATACTTTGAGTACATCATACTTTTCAATTTGAAATATATGGGATTAATTTTCGTACCCTGAACTGTTCTTATATAAATTGTACTCAAGTCAATCCACTTCCAATGTGGTTGGCCAGGCAAGATATTTTTTTTCCACAACTCTCGCCCTCTCACTGTACATAATATAATATATCCTACACTATTCAATTTAGTCACTTCACATTAATAGTCCATTTAGGTTATATTGTTACTTTTAACACTAAATATCCATGTATAATAATTTAATAATTATTAAGATTATTATTAGGATTAAATCTATTAAAAATAAAAACTATGATCATGTCGCCAGCGTTTGCATACACATATTTTAATAAAAGTAGAAATAAAGAAGTGGATGGGGAATCAGAAATCAGGCAAAATAAACTAGATGATAAAATACAAATTTACTTGTTCGGTAATTATTTTGTTTTATTGGTAGACACATTGATCATAACACAGTATAAGACAAAAAATATTATATACTTGATAATAAAATGTGGAATGTGTTATTGGAATAACCCACCGGCGGTTCTTCATTCGTTACAGCATGTCACGTCTAACAATATTACAATATAGTATTTTTAAGAATTTGTGAAATTATCTTGTAAACATATTACAATACCGTTCCTCTCCAATGTTTCAGCAACACAAACATTTCTTTAGGGGGAGAGAGAGGGGCCCTTAAGTCTAAACACACCCAAGCCCTCTAATAAATTCCACCTATTTTACTCGCAGCTCCTTATTCGAAAAGCTGATACATGTTAACGGTTATCTTCGGAAAGATGCTTGGAATTTCCTAAATATAAAAGTACCGTTTTAGTAGAGAACAGTCAACACTAAACGCAGTTATTTAAAAGTTCTCGAGTACATTAGCTCCACAAAAACAGTCTTGCAGGAACTTTTATTAATAAATTTAAAAAAAAACTCTAAGTATTTTATTACACATGTTTTTTTTTCGAAAATACAAATTTCTTAGTGTTATTTTAAAACGTTTATTTATACAATTTCTATTCGAAATTTCATATTCTGAAAGAAATTACTGAAAAAACAATATTCTGCTAGCATCTATTTTTCAAATAAATGAGTTTAAGAACTTAATACCGTACACTTTTTTATAAATTGTTCATACATAAGAAATAATTATTTCTTATTTCTTGAATTGTATTTTTAAATAAGTACTTATATATATATATATATATGTATGAACTTTTACCTTTTAATTTGAAAGTACATGTTAATGTTGTAATTAATAGTTTTTCAGCTTAGCATCGAAGCCGATATTTTTTGGCTTCAGCGTTAATAATTTACAAATTATAATAATGGAGTTATAATCTACAGCTGTTATACTCTTATGTCTCTTGACATTATGTTTCTTGTTACAATTAGAGAATAATAATTATTAATCTGTAAACATTTTTACTATACGAATCGGTATACGAATTACAAATACAATTTATTTACTATGTATAACAAAAATGTATATTAGAAAAAAAAACATAAATTAAGAAACTGAACCATATTATTTCATTTTTTATTGCTTGTATCAAATCATTGGATATGACGTAAGATAATCCCATTTCTGTCTTTAGGGTTCTTTCTCTGTGCGCCATTTTTTCGTCCAAATTTCAGTTTTAGCTTCATAATTGGCAGCTTTAAGGATATTGTAGAAAATTGGAAAACTCAGTATTGCTGATCCAATTAACCATTTGTTCCATGCACTTTTAGCAGTAAGTATGTTGGGGAAAATCTTCTTGTGGCTGGATTTCTCACCTTGGCCGTCCATAATGAATTTTATGTTGTACGAAAAAACTCTAGAAAATAAAAATTACCTACTTATAAAATGTCACCTAGTAAAAATGACGCATATTAAAATATTGGTATATTGGACGAAGGGTGACGTCTATCGGTCGGGTGTTCGCGACGATTAGAAAAAAATCAAGCTACTTTACAGTGAATTACGTTTTTAAATATTGAATACAACTAGTAAATATCTTTTGTAAAAGTTACCCGAGTACGAATAATGTCTGTAGGAGATGTTCAATACTTCAGTACTAAATTTTCTTTGGAAAAATTACACGAACGCATTAAATCAAA